GGGGGAGCGGCGCGTGCAGCCGGGAGGAGGGGGCGGGGCCGGGGCGCCGAGGCCCCGCCCCCTCCCCCTCCTCTGCTCTCTGCCCCAGAGATGAGGGGTCTGCCGAGAGGGAGGGGGCTGATGCGGGCCCGAGGGAGGGGGCGAGCGGCCCCCACGGGCAGCCGCGGCCGAGGAAGGGGGGGTGCGCACCGTGGAAGAGGTAGGCCCCGGAGCCTGCTCTCCTTGCCCAGGGCCCAAGCCACCTGGGCCTCCCAGCTGTCCCCCGGGCTGACCAGTGCCCCTGTCCCTTGTCTCCCCTCCCAGGGGGAGGCCCCCGCTGAGATGGGGGCGCTGCTGCTGGACAAGGAGCCCCGAGGAGCCCCCGAGAGAGGTGAGTGCGCCCAACCGGACCCAGCCGGACCTTCCTCCTCCCCCATCCCCGGATCCGTGGAGCCTTCAGCCCTCTTTTTTTTCTCTCTCTCTCTTTCCTCTAGCACTTCATGGCTCTTTGGGCGACACCCCTCATAGTGAGGAGACCCTGCCCAAGGCCACCCAAGACTCCCTGGAGCCTGCTGGTCCCTCCTCTCCGGCCTCTGTCACTGTCACTGTTGGAGATGAGGGGGCTGACACTCCTGTTGGGGCCACACCACTCCTTGGGGACGAACCCGAGAATCTGGAGGCAGATGGGGGCCGAATCCTGCTGGGTGAGAGGCTGGAGAGATTTTGGGGTGGGGTGGGCGCGTGGAATTGGGGGGTGGTCTTCTGTCTGCTTGGCCTTACCGTTCTTCTCCCCACCTGCCCGTCTACTTTCTAGGCCATGCTACAAAGTCATTCCCCTCTTCCCCCAGCAAGGGGGGCGCCTGTCCCAGCCGGGCCAAAATGTCCATGACCGGGGCAGGAAAATCGCCCCCCTCGGTCCAGAGTTTGGCTATGAGGTTGTTGAGTATGCCAGGGGCCCAGGGAGCTGCCACAGCTGGACCTGAACCCCCTCCAACCACCACCAGCCCGGAAGGACAGCCCAAAGTACACCGAGCCAGGAAAACCATGTCAAAACCTGGAAACGGACAGGTGAGGGTGTGGAGGTTGGGTGGACAGAGTGGGGTTACCTCTGGGTGGGCTATTTATTTTTATTTTTATTTTTCTTTGTTTCTTTTTTTTTTTTTTTTCCCCCCCTTTGTAGCCTTTGGGCGCCTTCCAGATACTCAGATTTTTTTTTTTTCCTAGAATTTACCAAGAGGCTACAATGTGTCAGATGTTGGGCTGGGCTTCGCCAACTAATTCCCGGCTTCCTGGAGTTTGTGTTCTTGGGGGAGGGGTGGTCGGCGTAGAGGAGACAGATGTAGAGTTAATTATATAGCTGATGTCCTAATTACTCCTATGAAAATGACTAAAGGAACTTTTAGCTGTCCCTACTTTCTACCTTTGAGCTTGTCCTTAGGGAGCTTTTTCATCCCGGACCAATAGGGGTCCAAGGCTAAAGTTTTCACAGGGAACCCCTCGTGGGAAGGAGGTGAGGGCCCACATAAATGACAGAAGGGGCGGGGCAGAGGCCCAGAATCCGGAAGCGGTTATGACTAGGTTTTAAGGGCTCCGGCTTGGGTTTTTGTATATGGTCTGTGTAAACTTAGTCTGGGTCAGGCTTTTGTTGTTGACTTGTTGACTTTTTTTGTTGGTTGGTTGGCTTTGGGGGTTTGTTTCCTTTTTGTTTTGTTTTGTTTGGGTTTTGTTGGTCTTTTTGAGATGGTATCCCTGTAGCCCAGGATGGCCTAGAACTTTCTATGTAGACCAGGCTGGCCTTGAACTCACAGAGATCCACCTGTTTCTGCCCCCCTGAGTGCTGGGATTAAAGGTGTGTGCCACCATGCCTGGTTTTTAGGGCTTTTTTTGTTTTGTTTTTTGTGCCTTCTTTTTTTTTTTTTGGTCTTTTTGAGACAGGGTCTCCCTGTAGCCCCAGCTGTCCTGGATTCACCATGGAGACCAGGCTGGCCTCAAACTCCCAGAGATCTGCCTGCCTCTGCCTCCTGAGTGCTGGGATTAAAGGTGTGCACCACCCCACCTGGCGTTTTTTGTACTTTTTTTGAGACAGAGTCTTGGCCCCATCTGGCCTGGAACTCACTGTAGACCAGACTGGCCTTGAACTCACAGAGATCCCCTTGCTTCTGCCTCCCAGTGCTGGTATTAAAGGTGTACACCACGACACCTGACTGACTTTGACTGACTTTCTTTTTATTTCTTTTCCTGTAGCCCAGGCTAACCAGAAACTTACTACATAGCCAAGCATTTAGCCTTAGGCCACCAAACGCAGGTGGCCTCCCCCCTCCCCTTTTTTGTTATTTTTTTTTTTTTTTTTTTGTTAGTCTCCAAAGAAAATAAAATATTTATCATCCTTTGGGAAGCAGAGGCAGGCAGATCTTTGTGAGTTTGAGGCCAGCCTGGTCTACATAGTGAGTTCCAGGACAGCTGGGGCTACAGGGAGACCCTGTCTCAAAAAGACAAAAAAAAAATTTTCCTAAAGATTTTTTTTTTTTTTTTTGAGATAGGGAACTCACCATGTAGACCAGGCTGGCCTCAGTCTCACAGAGCTTTGCCTGCCAATCCCTACTCAGTGCTAGGATTAAAGGTGTGGATCACCATTTTTAAAGTATACAGAGGCACTTTCCATCATGCCTGGCATGAGCTTTTCTTTTTTATTTCTTTACTTTTTGTGGGTATGAGTATTTTGCCTACAGGTATGAATATATACCGTGTATTTGCCTGGTGCCCGTAGAGCCAGAATAGGGAGTCAGATCCCTTGGAACTGCAGTTAGAGATGGTTTTAAGCCATCATGTGGGTACTGGGAACTGAATCTAGGTCCCCTTCAAGAGTAGCAAGTGCTCTTAATGGCTGAGCCTTCTCTCCAGCTCCCTTAATGCATTTTATTGTTTTGAGACAGGATCTCATGTGTAATGTAGGCTGGACTTTAGACTCTTCTGTTATAAGGCTGACCTTGAACTTGTAATCTTTGTGACCTCAGCCTCCCCAGTGCTGAGATTACAAGGTTGTGCTGTCCTGCCCAGTTCGTCTAAGCCGTTCCTGAATATACAATGTAGAGATACCAAAATACATTCACATGTTGTGCAACTGTCGGTGTCTGTAACTGTTCATCTTATAAAACTGTAACCAGTAAACAACCCCAGCCCTCCTCCCCCCAGCTCTTGGCAAGCACCATTCCTTCTAAGAGAGTGATTACCTCATCTGAGCACTTCCTAAACTACACAAGTCCAAGTATGCTCAGGTCCTGCACATAAAATAATTGAATATTTGCATATTACCTACACTTACCTTCCATGTTCAGAGCCTCCCTAGATTATTTACAGTGCTTAATATAACTTCTGTGTGAGTAGTTTTTTGTTTTATTATTTAGGGAATAAGAAAAGACTATAAGGCAGGCATGGTGGGGTGCACCTTTAATCCCAGCACTTGGAAGGTAGAGATAGGCAGCTCTCTGTGAGATCAAGGCCAACCTGGTCTACACAGCAAGCTCCAAACCAGCTGGGACTACTGTCTCAAAAAAAACCACTGTAATGTTTAGTTTAGACATTTTTTTAGTATTTTATTATTTTTATTTTGTGTGTATGAGTGTATTGCCTGCGTGTGTGTAAGTGCAACCATGTTGTGCACGTCCGACCCCCTGGAACTGGAGTTCTGGACAGTTGTTAGCCAACATATGGGTGCTGGGAATCGAACCTGGGTCTTCTGCAAGAGCAGCAGTGCTCCTAAGCCCTGAGCCATTTCTCCAGCCCCCTAGAAACAAATTTTTTAATTTAAATTTTGTCATTGTGTCTGTGTATGGGTGTGTGATGGGCTCAAGGGTCAAAGTTAGAGGATAACTTTTTGAAGCAAGTTTTCTCCTCTCTGCTCTAGGGATCAAATTTAGGTCATTAGGTTTTAGTGGCAAGAACCTTTACCCACTGACCCATCGCACCAGCCAGTTTTTTTTGTGTGTGTGTGTTTTGTTGTTGTTTTCTTTGAGGGGGCAGAGTTTATGTAGGAACTCAATATGTAAACCAGACTGATCCTTCAACTCACAGAAACCTGTCTGCCTCCCAGGTGTTGGAATTAGTGGACCACCACACCTAGCTTTTTTTCCTCTTACTTAATTTTTATTTCTTTGTTGTGTATGCATGTGTACTGCGTGGGTTTGTGCACTTGAGTGCAGGTGCCCAAGGAAGCCAGAGGTATTGGATCTCCTGGAGTTCCCTGCAGTTGTGTGTAGCCTGATGTGGATGCTGGGAACTGAACCAGGACCTCTGCAAGAGCAATATGATCTCTTAACCACTGAGCCACCTCTCCAGCTCCCTTTATAAATATTTTTGGTCTACATCTGTGAGACCTGTGGGAACCAGGGGCTGGCTAGATGTCCCATCCGTGGATGGATGATTGGGCTGCTTCCCCTAAAGTCTTTGTAAACGATGTGGCTATAAACAGAGGTGCCGGGGACCCTCTCTCTTGCTCAGTTTGTTTTCCCATCTGTAAGATGGTCAAGGCATCCAGCTCTGTGTTGCTGGAGCAAGCCCGGTGAGCATGCCGAGTGGACTGTGTTTGTTCTACCTCCCCTTGGGAAACAGCCTTTTTTTCTTTTCAATGTTTTTTTAAATTTTTTTTATTGAATTTTTGTGTATTTCATACAGAAAATCATCTTTATACCCCTTCCCCTCCTTTTAAATATCTTTTATTGTGTTTTTGTGCATTTCATATAATAGACCTTAATCATTTTGTCATATATGTTAAGTATTTGTACCCAGATGTCCTTCAGTGCAAGTTCATCCCCTGGAGTCTAGTCAGTCTATCTAGGGTTTCTCCCTTAAAGACCTAGTCTCCTGGCTGGGTGTGATGGCACATGCCTTTAATCCCAGGCAGAGGCAGGCAGATCTCTGTGTTCAAGGCCAGCCTGGTCTACATAGTTCCAGGCCAGCTGGGACTACAGGCAGACCCTGCCTCAAAAAGACCAAAAATAAACAAACAAGATCTGTTCTCCCTCACCCAGCAGTGATCAGTTGCCAGTAGTTCCTAGGCTAGGGCTGGGGCCTGCTGCCATTTCCCTCTTTATATGCTGAGTTTTTGTCTGATTGAGTCAACATGGGTCTTGGGCTTGTCACCATTGTTGCAAGTTTCCAGTGGCCTCAAAGCCTGTTTCCTTATGTTCCTGCACCAACCCTGGGTATTACAGTCTTTCTGCCCCCTCTTCCCCAATGGTCCCTGAGCTGGGAAATGTTACCTTTTAATATTTATTTACTTATTTGGAGAGTGAGAGAACAACCTGTGGGAGTCATTTCTGTCTTCCAACACCTTCTAGGTCCTGGGAATCGAACTCAGGTCATCAGTCTTGGCTATAGGCTCCTTTACCCGCTGAGCCATGTCGATGGCCCTCAGGTCACCTTTTTTTTTTTTTTTTTTCTTTTGAGGCAGTGTCTCCCTGCAGTCCTAACTGGCCTGAAACTCCCTATGTAGACCATGTAGCTGCTCTTGATCTCACAGACATTAACCTGCCTCTGCCTCCTGCGTGCTGGGATTAAAGGCATGTGCTGCAGCACCCCACCCAAATTTCCTTCGAAGGCTGAGTAATATTCTGACCCAGAGCTGTTCCTTCTTACTCCAGCCTCCAGTCCCTGAGAAGCGGCCCCCTGAAATACAGCATTTCCGCATGAGTGACGACATTCATTCCATGGGGAAGGTAACTTCAGGTTAGTCACAGCCCACAACCCCGCCCCCACACCCCACACCCCATCTGGCCTGATGTGTTCTGTCTTAGGCGTTAGAGTTTTAGCCTAATTCTTTTCTATCCTTCCAGATGTGGCCAAAAGGAGAAAGCTGAACTCTGGCGGCCTGGTAAGCTGGAGAGGCAGGAAACTGGGGTTGCTTGCATCCTGTCCTCCAGAGACACCGGGGTTTGGTGGGCATTGACAGCAGCCTCAAATATTCCAATCTTCTTCTAGTCAGAAGACATGGGTTCTGCCCGGGGCTCAGGAGAAGTGACCTTGGAGAAGGCAGACCCCAGGCCCCTGGAGGAGTGGGAAACCGTGGTGGGTGACGACTTCAGCCTCTACTATGATTCCTACTCTGTGGATGAGCGTGTGGACTCTGACAGTAAGGTGTGCTGGCACGGCTCACTTTCCCGTCTTCCCTGTCCTCTCTTGTTCCTTCCTTTTTACTCTCTAAACACCCACAAGTCACTGTCCCAAGCTGTCAGCAACTATTTCAAGTATCTCCCATCCCATCCCATCTTGGCCTATCTCCACCAAAGTGATCCACGCTGTCCCCTGCACTCCGGGGTCTGTGTCCTGCTTTGTGCTAAGTTCGTCCTCCTCTCCTGTTATTTTGTTTGTTTGTTTTGTTTGTTTCTTTGTTTGGTTTTTGTTTTTATTTTGTCTTTTTTGAGACAGGGTCTCCCCGTAGCCCCAGCTGTCCTCGAACTCACTATGTAGACCAGGCTGGCCTCGAATTCACAAAGATCCACCTGCCTCTGTCCCCCAAGTGCTGGGAGTAAAGGTGTGTGTCGCCACACCGGCTTGTTTGTTTTAATACAGGATCTCACTATGTAGCCTTGGGTTGGCATAAGTACTCCCTATGCAGACTGGGCTGGCCTCATTCATAAAGATCTACCTGCCTCTGCTTCCCTGGTGCTGGAGTCAAAGGCGGGTGCCATTGTGTGTGCACCGTGGACATGTGGAGGGCAGAGGGCACCTTGCAGAGTCTGGTTCTCTCCTGTCATGTGGGACTGGGGGAGTTTTATCTCCTGTAATATAATGTATGGGTTTAGGGTATTTTTATTATTTTTCATTTTTTCAGTGCTAGAGGGTGAACTACAGTGCAACAAATGCTAGGCATGCTCTGTATCCTGCTCTCTCTCTCTCTCTCTCTCTCTCTCTCTCTCTCTCTCTGTGTGGTTTATAACAGCACCTGGCTGTTTTTAGGTGAGGTCTGGGGATCTAACTGGGGTCCTTAAGCCTAAGCAGCAAGTGCTTTACTGAATGAACTACTTCTCCATCCCTCATGATTTGCTTTTTGCTTAACATTTTGTCTTGGAAACTTTCAATTGAATACAGGGGGGTTATTGAGCTCCCTGCATCCAACGGCAGTCACAGTGGGTATGCTCACTACACACACACTCTCTCTCTCTCTTTCACACACACACACACACACACACATATATCTCTCTCTCTC